AGGTTTAAAGTTTGGACCTTAATTATTTAAAATATGTAGACCTTTCAAGGTCAAATTTATATTTTTGAATAGAGCTCGACCTCACGAACGCGTAGGCGCAAACCGTTCGTGAAACGGAGTTAGAACGAAGAAGTTATTAACATTTAAAGTCGGGGATAAAATTGTAAATTTACCATTACTAGAATGCTTCAGATTTTTGGAGCCAAATTTGGAAGGCCACGTGTGTGGCCCAGATTAAAAGTAAGAAAAGTTAGGCAGTGGAGATGGAAGATAAAGCAGAGAAAGGAGGGAGAGAGGAGCCAATCAGAAAAGGGGAGGATGAGAGGTGACTAATGAGAGAAGAGAGAAATGAGGAGAAAGGAGAGAGGAGAGACACAGGGGATTGGGACCCGGGTCTTGGTGACCCGACCCGGTCGGCGCCATACACATTTCCGATGGGGTTTCACCTCTTTTTCCGGTGAATTGCATCAAACCACCTCTTGGAAACCTCTCCACGATCTTCCCTCTTCCTATTACACCTAAAAAATCATGTAATTTGGTCTTGAAATTTGGGAAAGAACACACCGGTGCCGCGACCTTCTTTGCTCGAAATCCATCAAAATCTGAAAAGTTTTGGTTAAATTACAACCACCTATAGACTCCTCGTGTGTCCTAGAACAAAGCCCAAGCCTTGTTTGGAGCGGTGGAGTACCGGAGATAACAAATCGGGGACACCCAAATTCTAGGGTTCCGACGGGTTGGAGGCAAAATTGGAGCCTTTCCAAGCCAAATTGGGCTTGGCCACAAGTATAAAGTTTGCTCTACTCTTTGAGATCTTAATTTTTGTATTTTTTGAGAATTTTTAGAAATAGTTGGAATTTCATAATTTATTTAAATTTGAATTGGTGAACTACGAATGACTTGATCCCTATTGAGGGTACGTAGGCAATCTAACAAAACGCTAGATGCAGCCATAAAATTAAATGTGTTTAAGTATTCCAAAATTAGTATATAGATGGATTTTGATCTAAGAGATGGAAATAGTTCTAATTTGGAAGCAAGATTATATATCTTGGTAAATGAATATTATTATCGAATATATGTAGGATGAAGAGAATGATTTAAAGAACGATGACTAATAATAATGATTTCAGTTGTTAAATTAAAGGTATGTTTGGCATTTAAGAAAATATGGATAACTTGTAATAGTAAGTAATTTGGACTTAGAGGGATGTTATGAAAGAAAATAAATTAGCTATGTTTTTTTTAGTTGGGCCTACTATGATTATTTGCCGAAATATAATAAAAAAATTCAGGGCAAGGGCGTTACAAGAAATTCTAGGATTTATGCTATGGTACCATGCTAATTAGGGCTTATTTTATGGTTTAATTTCCTAATGTCATTCTTCTCACCAAGGAGGAAAATATATAATGTACAAGAGTGATTTACAAGGAAAGAAACATCAAATAACCTAATTACAATTTGATTACAAGGACTTAAATAGGTAACTAAACTAATTACAAAATGTCAACTCTCCAACAATCTTCACATGGTAATAAATGATAAACCATATATTGCCATCCAAATTTCACAAATATATCGATCTCACCAAACAAGTGAAGCAATATGCGTGGAGTTGAAAAGCACATAACCAATTTGGTCGATCATTCAATGTCATTAGTCGAGAGAGCTACTTGACAAAGGTTGAGTGAGGTTTGCTCTTCAATCTTCATTTTTATTTCAATTTGTGTGCATTAAATTAAAATAGCAAAGATTGTATGAAGGTCACGTGATTTGGTTTCCGTTGATTAATCAAAGTATTTAACTAAACACATGATGTAGTGGATCTCCAAGACAATAAGGTGAGGGATAATACTTGGTTACTCCAAGGTGAGTAGAAATTCCTACTCAAAATTTCTCAAAATTGTTCGTTGTCATATATAACTTCGTGTTTATAATCAGAACCGTTGATATTATAAACCATTCTATAAAGATCGTCTCTGCAAAAAATCAATTAAAACTAAGATCGTTTAGTCATCAAACTGTTTAAAACAAATGAATGGTATTGGTAAAAGCATTACGGACCGTCTATGTATTTACTACAATAGATTAACTAAACAACCTTAGTTTTAATTAATTTTTAATAGAGATGATCTTTACAATGTGATTCATAGTATGAACGGTTCTGATCATAAGCACAAAACTCTATGATTAAAACACTAAGAGTTTTGAGTAGGAATTCATACTCATCTTTGAGTAGTCAAGTATTGTTCTACGGTACCATAAGTACCTAGCTTCTATTAATTTATTCTACTTAAGAAAAGCAGGGATTATCTGAAAAAATAAAACTTTTTATAAACTTTTTGTCACTTTTTGTTTTTAGCACAATGTTTAAGAGCAACTCCAGCGTTGCAAAGGCCCCTAGGGCAGCTCACTATTGAATAGCCTCCAGTGAACAGTAATTGCCATTAATGAACAGTAACTACCTTTTGCATCTCCACTCCTAAACTGAATAGCCATAGCAATATGCAATAAAATATTAGTATTTGTTTATTTTATAAAATAATACAAAATAATTTTATTTGTAATTTCAATTAAGATTTTTAATCATTATCGTTGCGCCACGTGTCAATATCCGAGAAGACAATTTTTGGTGATAGATTTCGATAAGATATTTATCCAATGACGTCGTGCCACGTATCGTTACCTTTTCAGAACCGTTGAGAATAGATTTCTGATAAGATTTTTAACTAATCACGTCACAATCTGTTTACAATCTTTGAGGATAAATTTCGATCAAATTTTTAATGAATGACGGCATGCCACATGGCATTATCTACAACCTAATTCTTTCTTTTTCCTTCATATAACCCACCATCCATCCTAAGAAATTACACACCAAAATCAAAATCTCTATCATTATTCATAGTTTCTGCTTCCTTTTTATAATGTCTTCTTCGAGGATGTTGTGGGAAATCAATGAGTAAGAGAAAGAATTGTTTAAGTAAGGGGAAGAAATGTTCAATCTCTAGGTGGGTGAAAATGAGATGGAAGAGGAAGAGGATGAGGAACGTAGAATGAGAAATGACGAAACAAGAAGCCAAAGAGCCTCACATTACCGTCGAGTCATCCAAGTTGTGACTCAGATCTGCAGGCCTAGCCATTCTGCAAACATTTATAGAAAAGTAAAATCAATTTTTTTTAAATTTTTTATTAATTTTTAACATTTTTATTACCTTAATTAATTTCTGCCGTTTGATTAAAAAAAATTGAAATCCAAACCTTAAGAATGTGCCATGTGGCACAACGGTAACATTTTAGATTTTTTAAAGGGAACTTTAACGAAAAGCTCCCAGTATTGTTCACTTCAACGAAAAACCACATTTTTACACTAAAAAGTCAATCCTGGTACTATTCACTTTACCCTTTATTTTGTCCTTATCGTTAAAACTCGAAGTTTTCAAACCATTTTCATTAGTTTTCTTTTTTTTTAAATGTTAATTTTTTTTTAATTTAGAAAGGCAAATAACGTGGACGGTTGATATCAAATCCAACGGTCCAGGAAAAGTAACTGTTGAAATCCAACGGACGAGAACGTGACACGTGGCCACCAATGGTAACATTTCTACCGTCTGAACCGCGGGCCCCATCGCTTGAAATGTTGTTCGGGATGTGCCCCCACGAGCGCGTGTTGTGCACGCACCTGATGCAAGAATAATTAAATAGTGGCTGACGCCACCCTGACGTCTGCGTTGCATCACTTGGTCATCGGGCTCTCAACCACTAATTTGAGCCAGGCCTCTCATTCGCCCCCCTCGCCTGCCCAATCGCCCTCTGGGCTGGAGTTTGCAGCTCTGGCTATTGGGTTGGTAAAGTCGCCGGTCCATTGGACTAATTGTCCCGGTAGAGTTGCTATAATAGGATGGAACTTGGAATGCACCTAGCATTTACTGGGATTCCAATACCCACCGGCCATTACTTCCCCCTGAGCCCCCAAACCTCTCACTCTTCCCACTCCCCCAACTTCCTGCCCCCAAACCCCTCACTCTTCCCACTCCCTCAACTTCCTTTCTTTTCTATCCCTCCCTCTGCTTTCCTACAAAGAAGGAACCCCAAAAGCACTTAAAAACAGCCAAAAAAACCAGAGAGAAAAATGTCCAACAAGTCACCAATCTTTCTGATGCCACAACCCCAACACTTCAGCGACTATGGCTTCGACCCCCAAGTCGACTACTGTTAGAGTAAATGTAGAATTATGGAGAATAATTCAAAGGATGACTTTGAGGTATGACTTGAATCGTTTCCTTAAAGTGTTATTTGTCTCACTCGAATGAGTTTGCTAAAGGGTTCTTGGCAAATCACTTCCAGGATACAACAAAGTATGAAATATTCGATTAGCAAAACCGAATTATATTTCCTTAGAAATAACTAGAAAGAAATTGTATGAATGTGATAGAGAAAGAAGAGAGCAATGAGTGTAGAAATAAATTTCTAAAATTGTGTATACAACAACTTTCTGAATGAATCATTTTCTACTAATGTCACCAATATATATAGAGAGAATTACACCCGTTAGACACATCCTTTGATTTGAGTATGTCTTTTCACCATGAGATACAACACATTGCAGCAATATGTCCAATGGACATATCTGATACAAAACACCTCTTACCCAAAGGATCATGAAACATGTCTTTTCAGCAATAATCAAAAGAATCATGTTCAAATTGAAGAGATCTGCTTTTTGGGTTAATAACCCAATCTCATCCTCTGTCAGTCAAACAGCCTTATATATATATATATATATATATATATATATATATTCTTAAAATATTATCTGGCTTCTCTGCCCTCCCATTTCCTATACATTCTCGTCCCTCCTATTTGTGCGGTCACGGTTAAGTCACATTAACATTTTATATTACTATTGCTGTTTGTCTTATTATCTCTATAAAAAATCAGTATAAAATGTTGACGTGGTTTAACCGTGACCCCACAAAATAAGAGGGGATGAGAGTGTATGGGAAGTGGGAGGGTAGAGAAGCCGAGTCCGACGATGAGATCCATAGACTCCAAACATTTCAAGCTTCAAAAGCCCATCTCAAAAGATGACTCCAAAAAGCCCCACCACAACAAAACTAAGAAGAAGCGATGGTGGAAAAGCGCTCTTCTTTTCTTCAAATGGAACAAGCTAACACCCCACCACCACTACCACCGTGTCTCCGCCATCCGCGGCGGTGATGAAAATGTTCAACACCAGGCCAGAGCCAAAGCCTTTGGGGCATCCATTTTTGGGCCGGTTTATATCACTGAGAGTATAAGCTGGTCGTGCATGCCTTACCTGAGTACTAGCCGGCCGCCGTCTGGGCCGCTCGCTGGTACTATGCCTACGGCGAGTAAGGATGAGATGGGCATTCCTTACTTGAACCTGAGAGAGCTTAACATGGAGCAACAGCAACAGAGGAACTCTACCTCTGCCATGCCTATATATTTGGTTACTTAATTAGTATTTCAGGTGTTTAATCAATTACATTGTTATTCTTTTGGAGAACCTTATGTTTTTTACTAATTGCTTTTCTTTGGATTAATTAAGCGGGATGCTAAATGGGGTTGGATTTGTTTGTCTGTTTTTACTTTTTGCAAACTGCAAAGGTGTTTGATCCTTTGGAGGAAAGCTAGATCCTCATTTTGGTGTTTGTTGTTGCTCATTCTTATCTTTTGTTATAAATGTCTATTAACTGTTAGTCACTTGGTGATGGCAAAAGTTGTTTGTTAGTTGAGAAACGCTAATAGGACTCCCTCAAAAGCGACAGCTTCACGAATTTTATGCCACTCAATGACTTAACGTGACCAAAACTTGTAAGGGTAATGCGCAAAAATGGTGATGCATATCTTTTGACCAGAGCAATAAGATGTGCAAGCTCAATGGCTTAATGTGACCAAAACGTTATATGCCAACTGCCAAGCATAAGGAGCAGATGATGAAGGGGATATAAGGGAATGATCAGTCGGTTTCATGGAGCTACCAATTCGTATTTCGTTTGACACATTGTGGAAGATCTGAAGGCCCTGCTATTTGGGATCACTGGAGGCTAGTGCTGCCTACACGCGCCGCTAAGCTAATGAGGTTGTGGGTATTGTAGTTTTTTTATTTAAGTGGGCCTTATTATTTGGTTTAGATACAAAGCCTATTCTTTTTGCTTCATTGATAGACCCCAAATATTTTGTGGTGTGAAAAAAAAGAAGTAGGCCTGTTTCAACACCATCCACCTTAGTGTACACATAATAGCCATAACTGAGGATAAATTAAAAAAAAAAATCTCAATTTTGTATGTAGTGGATTGCTCTGATAAATAGGGTAATGCGTATTCAATTCATTGCATTTTGGTTCAAAGTTCAAACCCATTGCTTTATTGTAAATAGGGTATTCATGTTCAACCTACAGCGTTCCGGCCCAAACATTCTGCATATAGTTGATTGCTCTAGTAGATAAGTCACCGTGGGGTTTGCTTTTCACTTCTTGAAAAAGTTTTTTTTTTTTCCAACTTGAGAAAGCATTTGGTTTTCCTTGATCTATTTGGTATTTCCACATCATGTTAGAGTTAGTCTCTCTTTCATGTGTTGCACCCTGGTGAACCTCAACAAGAATTTGTACCTTTCTCGTTTGTTTGTGAGCAAGCATTGGAATTACATGCCTCATTCTAGGTGTTTATAGACTAAACTTTTTGTGTTTTTTTTTCTTCAGTTTTTTTTATTAAGCTTTAGAATTTTTTTTATTAAGATGCTTTTACTTGAACCACTTTAGTTTAATTGAATTGAATTTACATGTCAGTTTAATATGTTTAAATTTATTTTTATTTTTAATTTTCATTGTTAGTGATGATGTAACGAGGCACACCATATCAGTGGATGATATGCTCCTTGATGAAACGAACGACAATTTCCTTCTTGACTTCCCTTAGGGGTATAGCTTCAACCCACTTGGATTAGTAATATGTTGCAGCTAAGATGTAAGTTTCTCCTATAGATAACTTTGGTGTGATTGGTTATACGATGTCCAATCCCCATGCATCGAACGGTCATGAAGCAACCATGGGGTGTAAAGGCTTAGGCGATTGATGTATGAAGTTGGCGTGGAATTGGCAGGCTTGGTACCTTTTGGCGTACTCCAGGCAGTCCTTCACCATGCTTAAGCTGGAAGTGTAGTTTTGGTCTAGATTGATGCGCTCCGCATATGCCTGAGTGTGTTTCTTCCATGGCTTAATTGGCTTCTTCCTCACCTAGTCATCTTAGAAGTACTTCTTCAAAAGAGCGTCGGTAGAGTGTTTTAAGCTTGACTGCAAGACGATGCACGGTGATGGTAGGGTCAAGGCCTGGCATTTCTTTGTCGTCCTTATACTCCATTAGCAGTTGGTAGTACTCCTCGATCTCGTTCGCACTTAGTAGTGGACTTACAAAGATAGGCTTCGGCTTGTGCCTAAGTTGAGCTATTTGAGATCATCAACCGTGGCTTGCCCCCTATCCTTGAGCTATGGTGGCGCATCAATGACGTCCTCCTTAATGATTTCGTCTTCTTTGTCTTCTTTGATTGTGATGTGGAAAATGTCTTGGACCTCCTCTTCAGTGTCGTCCTCTTGAGCTTGTTGGTATGAAGATTGGCCAGTGTGGATGATGGTGCACCTCTTTACCCTCAGTTGTCCTTTTATGTCAACTTCCAAGGTTGCTTGATGCTTCATCCTTGAAATAATCATGCTTCGAACGTTTTCCTTTGCTGTTAGATCGTCGATATTTTCTTCTTTTGGCATTGTCTTCCTCTTTCTAGAAGGTTGCTTGGTTTCTTTAAGTCTTTCCAAGGTTAACCGTCGTGAAGGAGAGCTAGCTGTGTTGCTTTGTTTCTTAGGTTTTGATAACCTTTCGAAAACAGAGCTTTGGGGTGTTGGTATGTTAAGTTGTTTGAAGACAGAAGTTCGGTCATGACTACCAATGTGATCAAGTGTCGAAATTCTGGGTTTTGAATGATTCAGCCTATCAAAGACTGAAGTTCGAGGGACGAGTTTAGGCTCATCTTGATTTTGTTCAATGCTCACGCTAATATGTTGAGCGCTAACGTTTTTTGCTTTGCTTGAAATCTTCACGGGTGTATTTGGTGTGAAGCCAAGTCTAGTTTTGTTGTTGTCAACTCCGTAACCGTGCTCCTTCAACTTTTTTTGAGTCTTGGTGAGGTCACGTTCTTTGTCGCTGACGGTGTTTGCATTCTTCTTTCCAAGATTTGAAGATGAGGCGAAATCATACCCAACCTTTGACATGAGTTTGTAGGCGTTTAGGTCGAAACCTTCTTCGGTCCTCTTGGTTGGAAGAAAGCTTGGTTTTGCCCCCTTTGGCAGGGGTTTTATAAAACCTTGTGGTGGTTTTGAAACTTTAATGTTGCCTAGCTGTGTCAGAGGTAAAATTGCATTTGTATTGAGCTGTTTTACATCGTCATTGTGTAGCTATATGTCATCTTTGTTTGTTTTAGTTTAGAATGGAGATTGCTCATTCTTTTTTCTCGATATTGGGATGTATCAGAAGACGGGTGTGTTTGGTCATTTTGAGAGCGTCACACTCCTTTTTATTGTTGTGGGCTTAGTAAGCTCATTGTCGTTTTTGCTTGAAGATGGCACGGTTTCCCCTTCTTGTTTCTTGGGCAAGGCTTACCACTTTTATTTCTTAGGTGCGGCTTTGCCTGTGGACTTGATTTCTTTTGGAAGAGCTTTAGGCACCATGGCCTCATCCATGTAGAACTTGGCGTCCACGAAGTGTCATTCGACTTCGGTGAATAGCTTGGTGTTGCCTTGTATCACCTTTACTCATTCTCAGTAGAACTTTAAGCATTGATGAAGGGTGGACGACACTGCTCCATTCTCGTGGATCCAAGGTTTTCCTAAGAGCAAGTTGTAGGAAGTTCTTGCATCAATCACGTGGAATAGTGTGCTTGATTTGAGTTCATCGATAGTTATCTCCACTCGGAACATGCCCATCACTCTTTGTCCTCCTTGATTAAAACCTTGGATTAAGAGGCAGCTTCAGGATAGTTCATCCACCTTGATGCAGATTGTGGTCATTGTTGAGTTTGGCATGATGTTTATGGCCGACCCACCATCTACAAGCATGCAGTTGATTTTATTCTCTTTCACGTACCCAGAGACGAAGAGAAGGCGGATGGGAGGCTTTGACCCTAGCAGTAAATCTTCGTCAGTAAAGTTGATAGAGTCATGGGCAGCACAACATGTGGCATATTCATGTGGCGAAGCTTCAAGCCTTTGTCTTTGCTTTCTTGCACCTCGTGGTCGTCGGGACTTGCCAAGACCGCTAATAGTGTTTTTCGCATCTCCTTGGGCAATTGTAGTGCTTCTTTGATGCTAAAGTGTGCCGGCAGGCTTTCTTTAGGCGTGAGCTCGATGGCGATAACTTTACCTTTTAAAGGCTCTTCTATCTTTACTTCAACCATGTGATAGGTAGTGGTATTGCACTGTTGGAAGAAGTTCTTCGGGAAGTACTAGTGCAAGAAGACGGGAATGCGTGGCTCTTTCTCTATAGATTCCCTAACGAACGTTAGCTTAGCAACTCCTACGTTCCTTTTGGTTTTTCTATTGTTGTGACGGTGGTGCTTTCTCCCTTGTTCCACCTTTAGCCTTGCGGCTTGTGGTCTTAGCTTCCTTATCTTTTTGTAGGTCACGAGTGTCCACCCTTCTTCATCATCGGTAGGTGCATTTGGTCATTTGACCCTAGCGATTGTTGTGCAGAAGGTACCGTGTAGCTTGAGCATAGACGGGAGTGGTCATGCGTCACTTGAAGAGGCATAGGATCGAAGGATACAAACATAATCGTGGTAGTGTGTGTTGCGGCCGTGTCTTCAAGGTCAAGTTCAATTTACCCTTGTTATGTTAGCTTCATGATGAGCTCATTGAGGACAAAGCACTTGCCAACAGGATGATTCACAATACGATGATACTTGTAGTACCTAGCTCAATCCACCTCTAGCTTTTCCTCAGCTTTGTCCATCAGAGGCCCCTCATTTTCGTCAGTTTCCTTCTTTGGTGGATTAACCTTCGGGTCAGCTTTCTCATCGTGCTGCGCCTCCAGACGGTTGACGAATGTAGCAATCTGTAAGTCATTTTCCTCCACGGTCATTGTCAACCTTGTGATTTCTTCGCTCATTTGTGCTAGCTGCTATTCGATTGAAGTCGTACTAGTAGTCATGACTTGCATGGTTATGGGATACGAACTGCTTGAGTCGGCATTGGAAGTCAACGACTCGAAGTACCTCATCGTGTTTTCTTCCCTTGGTGCCTTTAGCGAGGCTAAGGTGATCACTGGCTCGTGCCTCAGGTGCTCTTGCTTCTCTGACAGAGTTGAATTAGAGGTGGAAGACACTGCAGAGAGAGATCTTACCTTGCTTAGGGTTGTAACGCCCAAAGTGCCACCACTTGCGGCAAGGATGTTCTTGTTATTTGCGTTGGTTGCGGGAATAGCTTGATCTTTTCTTGATGTCATGTGTGTTTCTTGTGGATTTGAAGATAGAGATAAGAGGCAAAGAGGTTCCACTGGGCGTGCCAAATTTGTAATCACGAAAATTCTGTAACAAATGAAACGAGAACACGTATACAAAGTAGATTTGTATTGATGAATTTATAGGGTTACAATCTCTGTTTACAATTTTCCTCTGATTCAGTCTTCAAATTTGATGTAGATGCGTAGGTTGTTGATCAAAGGGTCGCGATGACTTGATCTCAGACGAACGATTGAACAATTGCTTCAAGTTTTGAGCTTGAAACAATGCGTGGATAGTCTTCACCTCTCGGTTTGCATATGACCTGTGGCAAAGGTGATGTTGATATGGGATTTTGTTGATACAAGGGTCTTGACGCCTTGATCTTGAATCTTGAATCAAATGTCCTTACAAGTTTTAAGCTTACAACAAAGTCTTGAAGGAATTGGCATGAATGCTTGTAGATTCTCCAACTGAATGCTTCGGCTTTGGTAGAAAAAAGCTTCGGCTTTGGTTGTGCGTTCTTCGAAGAGAGCTTTGACAGCGTATTAGTCTTCAAAGATTTGGCAGAGGTTATCCTTTTGTGAGAATTTTGGCCCTTCAATGTAGAAATTGTCGACCTTATGCTTGTCTTGGGACCTTGTATTTATAGACTTCCAAAGCCATGCCTTTGGGTGAATTTGGCTTTGATTTGTGTCTTGATTCATCCATGGGAGAATTTAGGCATATTTTGTGTCTTGTTTCATCCACTTTCCCTTATCTTGGCCGAATTATATAGGGCTTGTTGCCTATTTTGTGCGCAATCTTCAATTCTTGCTTGTTTTTGTGAAGATGCTTTAGCTTTCTTTCCAATTTGAGAGATTTTGGACCCTTGCCGATTTTGAAGGAGATTACCTCCCTTTTGCCGAGTTTTAGGAAGGTTTTGTACTTCCTTTGCTTGATTTGTGTCACATGTTATTTATGACTTATCCATTTGTGATGAGTCATATGTCATGTGGAGCTTTGTGATGCATTATTTGTATGCAATGAAATTTACATGTCTACAGTGGAAGCTCTCTAGTTTTTCTTGCCCCAATGGCTTTGCCTTGTAACTTTTATTTTCATCTTAAAATAACATGAAAACAAAAGAAAAGAAAAAGGATGCCTGGTAAGTTGTGTTATATTTAATTCTTTTTTAATAGCGGGATTGAATAGTAAAGTACTAACTTTTACACTCAAAGTTTGATTATTGCATTCATCTGAAGTACAAAAATTGGACGATAAACTTCTTGTACTAAGATCTTCACATGGAAATAAATGATAAACCATATATTGCCATCCAAATTTCACAAATATATCGATCTCACCAAACAAGTGCAGCAATATGCGTGGAGTTGAAAAGCACATGACCAATTTGGTCGATTAGTCAAAGTCATTAGTCGTGAGAGCAATTCCACCCCTAAAAAAATACACCATCATCTAGCCCATTTAATCCACTCAGTGAACAGTGATAGACACCAATGAATAGTAATAGGTCAAATGCATCTCCACCCTAAAAACTAAATAGCCTAGTCAATTTTATTAAAATATTATTAATTTTTATTATAAAATAATAATTTAATTTTTAATTTCTAACATTATCCCTTCTTTTTCTTCCCACTTTTCACTCTCCCACCACAATCCCTTCTTCTTCTTCCCACTTTTCACTTTTCCACTGCAACTCTCTGTATTTCGCTCCGTACGCCCACCAAACTACGCACCACACCAACGCTCCAAAAAAAATAGACATATTTCTCCTGGAAAAAACCCTTTTGGGTCTCTTCGTCGCCGTGATCGTCGCCATCGCCATTTCAAAACTCCGCGGTTGTCGCCTCACCATCGGTCGTCACCATCGCCATCATTGACGTGATCATCGCCTCACCGACCTTGCCAAGAAATTCGGCGACTGCTTCCTCCTCCGCATGGGGCAGTGCAACCTCGTTGTCGTCGTCTCCTCGCCGGAGCTCTCCAAGGAGGTGCTCCACACCCAAAGAGTCGAATTTGGGTCAAGGGAGGCGTGGCGGTATCGCCTGGTGTCATGTAGGCCGGGTAAGAGCTCAACACATTCTGAGCCGGCCTAGAGACCAGCTTAGGCTGGGTGCCAGCCTATCTGCTCAGCTGGAGTGGATTGGTTGGGTGCCGGGCCAATAATTTGGCTGGGTGCTGGCCTAAAGGTTGAGTGGGGTTTGCTTTTCAATCTTCATTTTTATTTCAATTTACATGCATTAAAATAGCAAAGATTGTATGGACGTCACGTGATTTGGTTTTCGTTGATTAATCAAAGTATTAAACTAAACACATGATGTAGTAGATCTTCAAGGACCAAGATGATCAAGTGTAGGGATGATAATGGTTCGGTTCGGGAATGGAAATGCTATATTCATCTCCATAACCACGAAAATTAACCATATCTATAATCGCAAATTAACCATTGGGTATTATCCATAATCGTGCCCATTATGTAACGAATTGCCCATCGATTAACGGTTATATGCATCTTCGTCAATACAAAAAATATATTTATTCAATTGACGCATGATAATTTAGTAAATATTAATTTTGTCACTAAATATTTGATGTATAAAATGATTTAATGAATGGATCTTTTGGAGCATAAAACTTAAAGCTAAACATTGATAATGTAGACTGATCTTTGATATATCCTATAAGTACCATTGAATTCTCATAGATTTTGATTCGTATCAAAACTTTTGAACTTTCCCACAAAATGCAACTCACACAATGCAATTTTTGTATTCTCAAGGTAATAGATTTGGTGAATAATATATATATATATATATTATTTAATACTTTAATATTATATAAAATTATATCCAAAATCATAATCGAATAATATTCACAATTTTTCTCCATACCCAAAATATACATGAATTTTCATATCCAAATCCAATCTATTTGAACAATTATCTACAGTTATCAAGTTTAACGGTTATAAGTATCATTCCTAATAAGGTGGGACCATAAGTACCTAGCTTCTATTAATTTATTCTACTTCAGAAAAGCAGAGATTATCTGAAAAAAGAGACTTAATATAAAATTTTTGTCCTTTTTTATTTTTGGCATAATATTTAATACAGATGGAACTTGAAACGTGCACATAGTATTCACCGGGGTTCCAAGGCCCAAAGGCCATTACTTCCCCTTGAGCACCCAAACCTCCCCACCCTTCCCACTCCCCCAACTTCCCTTCTTCTACCTCCCTCCCTCCCTCCCTACCCCACTCTGCTTTCCCACAAAGAAGGAACCCCAAAAGCACTTAAAAAACAGCCAAAAAAACCAGAGGGAAAAATGTCCAACAAGTCACCAATCTTTCCTATGCCACAACCCCAACACTTCAGCGACTACGGCTTCGACCCCCAAGTCGACTACTTTCAGGTCCCGTTTCTTTCTTCTCTACTCTCTCTCTCTCTCTCTCTCTCTCTCTCTCTCTCTCTCTCTCTCTCTCTCTCTCTCTCTCTACTCTCTCACTGTGCAACCAATTTTATTTTTTGATCTGACCCATTTCTTTTCATGTAAAAAAAATGAAGGTTTTGGAGGAAGCAAGGAGGCACAAGCGGGAGAAGACGAGATCCATAGACTCCAAACACTTCAAGCTCCAAAAGCGCATCTCAAAAGACGACTCCAGAAAGCCCCACCACAACAAAACCAATAAGAAGCGCTGGTGGAAAAGCGCTATGCTTTTCTTCAAATGGAACAAGCTGACACCTCACCACCACCACCACCATGTCTCCGCCATCCGCGGCGGCGATGAAGATGTTCACCACGCCAGGGCCAAAGCCTTCCGGGGATCGATTTGTGGGCCGGTTTATATCACTGAGAGCAGAAGCGGGTCGTGCACTCCTTGCCTGAGTACTAGCCGGCCGTCGTCTCGGGCGCTCGCCGGGACTATGTCTCCGGCGAGTAAGGATGAGATGGGCATTCCTTACCTGAACCTGAGGGAGCTTAACATGGAGCAGCAGCAACATAGGAACTCTACCTCTGCCGTGCCTATATATTTGGTTACTTAATTAGTATTTCAGTTTTTTACATTCAATTAAGGGATTTTTGAACATTAGTCCTTGTAAAAGATTAAAAGTTAAAAAAAAAAAAATTCTGGTACTAAATTACATATTCAATTTAATCTTTTAAAGTGTATTTTTATTCATTTTTTGTTATTTAATGTGTATTTTTATTTAATCTCTCCACATTAAATTTTAATTTTATTAATATGCACATATTTAGTTCTTTAATTTAATTACATTGTTAGTCTTTTGGAGAGCCTATATATTTTACTAATTGCTTTTCTTTGGATTAATTAAGCGGGATGCTAAATGGGGTTGGATTTGTTTGTCTGTTTTTGGTTTTTGCAAACTGCAAGGGCGTATGATCCTTTGGAGGAAACGGCAAAGGCGTTTGATCCTCTGGAGGTCCTGAATTTTATGCCACTCGCTGACTTAATGTGACAAAAATGGTGATGGATATTTTTTTGACCAGGGCAATAAGATGTACAAGCTCAATGGCTTAATGTGACCAAAACATTATATGCCAACCGCCAAGCAGAAGGAGCAGATGATGAAGGGGGATATAAGGGAATGATGAGTCGGTTTCCTGGAGCTACCTATTCGTGTTTGGTTTTACACATTGTGGAAGATTCGGAGGCCCTGCTGTTTACCGCTGCCCACACGCGCCGCTAAGCCAATGAGGCTGCTCATCATCTCGCACGTTATGCTCTCTCTTTGTAATGTGCTACTGTTTTCCTCTTCCTAATGAATACAGATGCCGTTGCTTTGAATAAAAAATTTGAAAAGGCAAGGCGAAGAGAAAGAAACAAAACGCAACGCTCCAAATTAAGGAGCGGCGGGCAACAAACAAACAACCACATCTCACCATCCACTTGTATTTGGTCCACTCCCCTCTCTGCCATCTTCTCTACAACCTAACCTGCTCACCACGTCATATCGCAATCCATGTTACCGTTTTATTTTGTATTAAGAGCAATGCAAAGAAGATTCTCTTAAAGTAAAATTTTACATAGATTGTTTTGTCATATCGCAGTTTAATATTAATTTTTATAGATATTATAAAATTTTATATAAAAAATATAATGTGGCAGAAAGTTCATCGAGAGTTTCAGTTTTGAAAAAAATCCCTTAACATGATGTAATGGCTAACAAAAGAAATATTTTATTATATCCATAGAAGATGTCATAGATTGAGGAGTTGACAAATGATCCATGAGAACTTCTTTGAATTTTGAAAATAATTAGTAAAACACGTCGACCTTTAACGGCATTTTTAATTATAAAAGACTAATAAAAGTTATCGACAAAATTTGAATCTAAAAATGATGAATTAAAAAAAAAAAAGTTCGCCCCCAACTATGGAAGACTAAATACTACCCCTTATTTTTATTAGGCCATCTCCAACCGATGGCTGGCCAGATGGCTCGTTTTAGCCCTCTGGCCCTCCAAGATTCTCCAAGATATTAATATTTTAATGAACAGTACAGGGCCATATTTGCCTCCGTCTCCAACCGAGGGCCAGAGGGCCAGAGGGCTCGTTTTAGCCCTGTCACAAAAAACCGTCTCCAACCGAGGGCCAAACATAATTTATTATTTAACAACTACAATTTAAATTCAAATCTAACGCTAGGTGACGTAACATGATGTGTTTCATAGCTGACGTCAGCTAGCCGTTGGATTTGAATTTTTTTTGCTAAATAGGGTGGATATTGGGCTATAATTCACACAACTTTAAATTCAATCTATTTCAATTCAATCTCTTGCAATTCAATCTCTTTCAATTCAAGTTTGCAATGAATTCCAACTTTGGATCTTCATCCAATTCCAATTGGGGGTCCTCATCCAATTCCAAATTGAAAGCAAAATGGGCGCAAATGAGACGAGAAGATGAGGAGTCTGATGAAGAAGCTGAAGTAAGGCGCAACACACAAAACATGGCAGCAGCCATGGCTGCGGCCATGGTGTGTCAGCCAACTGAGGAACAACCTCAATGGGGTGGCTCTGTTGCTGGTTGCTCTTACAAACCACGAAACAGAGTGATGGCGCATGCCAATCTGATGAACAACTACTTCAACCCCAACTCGGTGTACACAGAAGAGGATTTCAGACGTCGCTTCCGGATGAGGCGTCATGTCTTCGAGCGTTTACTTCGTTGATATCGCAGCAGGTCAATCCATACTTTCGACAGAAGCGGGACAGAGCAGGCCGCCCTGGTTTTCTCACCTCATCAGAAGGTTACTGTTGCACTCCGAATGATGGCATATGGCTCCTCAGCTGATTCGATGATGAAACCATGGTAATGTCTAAGTCCTACATGCCTTGATACTCTTGAAGAATTTTGTAACACAATTGTTCAGTTTACAAGACGAGTACCTCCGAGAGCCAAATCAAGAAGATCTGAATCGGTCTCTTCACAAAGCTGAAGACCGGTGGGTTTCCGGGCATGATAGGGTCATTAGACTGCATGCATTGGGAGTGGAAGAACTGTCCCACTGGATGGCAAGGAAGCTTTTAGCGGAAGGTCGAGAAAGCCAACTGTTGTGTTAGAGGCAGTTGCCTCATATGACACATGGATCTGGCATGCTTTCTTTGGAGTCCCCTGGATCCCAAAATGACATTACAGTTCTTGGGCGTTCACCCCTCTTCAATAACTTGACGGAAGGTAAAGCACCTCAACTTGACTACTACATCAACGGCCGTGAATAAATATGGGGTATTACTTGGCAGATGGCATCTACTCAAAGTGGGCAACACTTGTCCAAGCAATTCCAAACCCAGGAATGATGCAGAAAAGTTGTTTACCTTACACCAAGAGGCATACCGGAAAGATGTTGAGAGAGCTTTTGGTATTCTACAAGCACGGTGGAAGATTATCAGCGAATCGGCAAGAGGGTGGAGTCGAGAAATTTGAACTCCATCATGATGTCTGCATCATATTACACAATATGATAGTGGAGGATGAGCGAGATGGGTATATTGATGGAGAGTCCGATGATGACCAAGAAGATCCAAATAGGTCAAGAAGGGCTCTAGCAAAAATATATGATGGGCCTAATTTGCCTTTCAATCCAAGAATTGGTAGTATCTCTATAAATGAGTATATGAGGCGCTATAGAATGATAACGTTCTCGTGCCACAAATACGTACCTACAACAGGATCTTGTTGCACATCTTTGGGCCAAAAGAAGCATGGAGTAGACTTTTAAGTTTTATGTTGTTAAATGTTTTTAAAAATGTTGTTTAAGTTTCATGTTGTATAATTTGTATGTTGGTTAATGTTATTTAATGTTATTTCATATTGTTTAATGTTGTTTCATGTTACTTAATTTAATTTAATGTTGTATAAATGGCCTAGGAAAAAAATAGAATTGAAAAAAATTATGAAACAAATTTTGTGAAATAGAAGTTATAGGAAATAAAATATGAATCAAATTTTGTAAAATAGAAGTTATAGGAAAAAAATAGAATTTAAAAAAAAATTGAAACAAATTTTGTAAAATAGAATTGAAAAAAAATATGAAACAAAATTTGATTAATATGAAAAGGAAAAAAAAGTTTAAAAAAAAAAAAAAGGCCTAATAATACAACAGCTACTAGCCGTTGTATTAAAAAACATTCAAACTATTAGTGTCGGTTATAACCGACACTAATAGTAGAACTATTAAAAAATAAATAAAACCTGTTTAATGCTGTCGGTTTTAACCGACAGCAATAGAAAACATTAAAAAAAAAAAAAGCCAGCCCGGGGCTGGCTGGTTGGCCGAAAGCAGCCAGCCCTCCAGCCCTCCAGCCCTCTCCGATCCCGTGGGGCCCTCCTAGATTCCAGAGCCCTCTGGCCTAGCCCTCGGTTGGAGACGATTTTAGGGCTATTTTTGGCCCTCTAGACCCTTCGGTTGGAGATGACCTTATATAGCCCTTCTAAGGGCTGATTTGATCCCCCAATATATGCCCCTTTGCAAATGCCCTTTGGTTGAATACTGTTCAAAAGCCCTTAATTGAAAAATGGTCTAGAAATATATTCAAGTATTTATTCGCACGACATTTTATTATTATTATTATTATTATTGTTATTGTTATAATAATAGTATGTCTGTACCATAAATGTTCCCCCGGAATTGTAAGTAGGAGATAAGAGAGCTTTGCTCTCACAAACACTAAAAGACAATAAAAAAATGGATGAAAAAAACAAAGACAATAAAAAATGATTAATATTTAACTAAATAAGATATAGTTAAATCTCAACAGTCCCCTCATAAAAAATAATGTACGAAAAAAAATCGTGCGGAGAGAAGAACCTAGGAGCTCAGCTGATCTTCTATTATCTATCCATGAATCAGA